AGTGATTGACACTGAGACAAAGACAGACAGATAGAAGGCAGTGTAATCACAAGCTCTTTTCCAGGAAAGCATAGGGCACAGCACTGTGTAACCAGGACCCCACACAGTCAGAGAGTGTCAAGAGAGGCTTCTAGAGAGTCAGTAACTAAGGAACTGTGATCTGAAGTCTGTTTAGGAGTGAGCCCCATGAAATGAGGAGGGAAGTAGAGGCTAAACAGGCAGAGGAAAGGTTCCAAGGTGAGGGAGCCTGTGGCCCACGGGAGCAGCTGAGACAAGTTCTGTTTTACTAAGGGACCCTAAATCTAGGAGGTGAGTGACAATGCTGAATAGTGAGCGGGACTGGGTCATGGAGGGCTTTGTCTACTTTGTTAAGAAGTTAAGCGGTGGCCAGGCACAGTGGCTTATGCCTGTATTCCCAGCATTTTGGGAGGCCAAGGCAGGCAGATCACCGGAGGTCAGGAGTTCAAGACCAGCCTGGCCAATATGGTAAAACCGCATCTCTACTAAAAATATAAAAATTAGCCAAGTGTGGTGGCGGGCGCCTGTAATCCCAGCTACTCAGGAGATTGAGATAGGAGAATCGTTTGAACCCTGGAGGCAGAGGTTGCAGTGAGCTGAGATCGTGTCACTGTACTCCAGACTGGGCAACAGAGGCTATGGCTCAAAAAAAAAAAAAAAGGCCGGGCACGGCGGCTTACGCCTGTAATCCCAGCACTTTGGGAGGCTGAGGCAGGCGGATCATGAGGTCAGGAGATTGAAACCATCCTGGCTAACACGGTGAAACCCCGTCTCTACTAAAAATACAAAAACTTAGCTGGGCATGGTGGCAGGCGCCTGTAGTCCCAGCTACTGGGGAGGCTGAAGCAGGAGAATGCTGTGAACCCAGGAGGCAGAGCTTGCAGTGAGCCGAGACCATGCTACTGTACTCCAGCCTAGGTGACAGAGCAAGACTCCATCTCAAAACAAAACAAAACAAAAAAGTTAACAAGGGGCACTGGGAACCCACTGAAACTTTTCAGGCAGAGCAGTGACATTATCAATGTGCACTGTAGAGACCGAGTCTGGCTGCAGAATGAATAGAGTAGAGAAGAATGCTGATACAGAGACTAACTTGGACATTGTTTCTGTAGTTCTCATGTGAGATGATAGCTACATGACCCCAAGGTACTGGCAACTGGGAACGGAAAGAAGATGGAGGATTTTAGTAATATTTTAGAGGGAGAATTGACAGGACTCAAGGATTGATTAGAAGAGGGGGATAGGGCTGGGCGCAGTGGCTCACGCCTGTCATCCCAGTACTTTGGGAGGCCGAGGCGGGTGGCTCACCTGAGGTCAGGAGTTCGAGACCAGCCTGGCCAATATGGCAAAACCCTGTCTCTACTAAAAATATAAAAATTAGCTGGCCGTGGTGGCACATGCCAGTAATCCCAGCTACTCGGGAGGCTGAGGCAGGAGAATTGCTTGAACCCGGGAGGAGGCACAGGTTGTAGTCAGCTGAGATCATGAGATCATGCCATTGAACTCCAGCCTAGGTAACAAAAAGCAAGACTCCGTCAAAAAAAAAAAAAAAAAGAAGAAGAAGAAGGTGAAAGTAAAATTAGGAATGACTCCTGAGATTCCAGCCTGGGTAACAGTGCATTGTGGTAGAACCCACTGAGATAGAGAACCAAGGAAGCAAAGATAGCTTTGGAGTCAGGATGGAGGTAAAGGCAGGATGACATGATAAATTTAGGACATACTGAGTTTGAACAGCTTGGTGGAATGCACTTGGCTATTGGGGTCCAACACAGACCTGGGTTGGAGCTCTGGTCGTGAGTGATAAACACTGACATGGTGGATACACTACAGAGGTATATGGGATTGCTCTAGTAAAGTGCATCAAGGCAGAAGAGAAGGCCGGGACAGAATCCTGGAAAACAACCACATTAAAAAGCAGAATTGAGCGAGACAAGCCTGCAAAGGAGAATGAAAAGAAGTAACCAGAGAGGTAGGAGGGAAACCAGGAGAGTATAATTATCATAGAAACTAAGAGAATAAAAGGCCTCAAGAAGGATCAATAGTGCCAGCACTGCTGAGAGATCAAGTAAGATAAGGACTGAAAAGTACTCAGAGAACTTGAGCAATGCAGAGGTTACAGGAGACCACGGAGAGAGAGCATAAGTAGAGGACGGCAACAGAGCCTGACGAGAGTGGCTTCAACAGAGAACAGGAAGGAAGTTGGAGCAGTGAGTGAGTAAACTCTTCCAAGTGTGGCATAGACTAGCAGAAATGGGAAGTAGACATGCAGTGGGAGCTATTTAATGGTTGTTTTCAAAAATGAGAGCAACTTGAACACCTCTCAGTGCTGGTGGAAGGAGCCATTTACAGGCAGAGGCCAGTCTCCACAGAACATCGTCTCTCAGAAAGAAAGGAGAAGGACTGCAAGTGCATATTGTGAGGGGTAGTCTTAAACCAGGGGAGGGATGCTTCCCCGACTTTAATGGGAAAGAAAGATGGTTGTCAATACAGGTAAGTTCCTGCTTTGGTGGCTGGAGGCTGACAGATCTGATGGTTTCTCTTTTCCCTTTGAAGGTGGAGAAGAGGTTGTCAGAAGCAACAAGAGTTTGAAGAGGGGAGATACTAGATACCATGATTCTATGATAATTATATGCACCCAGAGATAAAAAGATCACCAGATAATGCTAGGGACTCTGAATTTTCCATATCACGAATCTGGTTTTATTTCTTTTATTTTTCCTAATAGAACTCAGCAACCAGGTGTACAAATAAGCAGTTAGCTCTATGGTACCCCAAATCCAATTCAACTGGAATATGTGATATTTCCCATTCTTAAAATTGCATTCTGGGCCGGGCACGGTAGCTCACACCTGTAATCCCAGTACTTTGGGAGGCCGAGGTGGGTGGATGACAAGGTCAGGAGCTCAAGACCAGCCTGGCCAACATAGTGAAACGCCGTCGCTACTAAAAATACAATAATTAGCTGGGCGTGGTGGCGCATGCCTGTAGTCCCAGCTACTCAAGAGGCTGAAGCAAAAGAATCACTTGAACCCAGGAGGTGAAGGTTGCAGTGAGCTGAGATCTCACCACTGCACTACAGCGTGGGTGACAGAGCGAGACTCCATCTCAAAAGAAAAAAAATTCATTTTGGCCAGGCGCAGTGGCTCACACCTGTAATCTCAACACTTTGAGAGGCCGAGGTGAGCAGGGATCATGAGGTCAGGAATGAGACCAGCCTGGGCAACATGGTGAAACCCTGTCTTTACTAAAAATACAAAAATTAGCCGGGCATGGTGGCATGCACCTGTAGTCCCAGCTACTTGGGAGGCTGAGGCAGGAAAATCACTTGAACCCAGGAGGTGGAGGTTGCAGTGAGCCAAGATCGTGCCACTGCATTCCAGCCTGGGCGACAGAGTGAGACTCTGTCTCAACAAAAAAAAAAAAAAAAAAAAAATCATTCTAATTTTACTTCTTTCAAAAGAAAGACAACATTTTCTGGTGCTATCAGAAATAGCCCCATACTCAGAGTGGGCACAGTGACTCATGCCTGTAATCCCAGCTCTTAGCAAGGCCGAGGCTGGTGGATCACTTGAGGTCAGGAGTTTGAGACCAGCCTGGCCAATATGATGAAACCCCATCTATACCAAAAATATAAAAAATTAGCCAGTTGTGGCCAGGCACGGTGGCTCACGCCTGTAGTGCCAACACTTTGGGAGGCCAAGGCAGGTGGATCATCTGGGGTCAGGAGTTCAAGACCATCCTGGCCAACATGGTAAAACCTTGTCTCTACTAAAAACACAAAAATTAGCCAGTCATGGTGGCGCGTACCTGTAATCCCAGCTATGCGGGAGGCTGAGGCAGGAGAATCGCTTGAACCTGGGAGGTGGAGGTTGCAGTGAACCAAGATTGTGCCACTGCACTCCAGCCTGGCAGACAGAGCAAAACTCTGTCTAAAAAAAAAAAATTAGCCAGGTGTGGTGGCATGCACCTGTAATCCCAGCTACTCAGGAGGTTGAGACAGGAGAATTGCTTAAACCTGGGAGCCAGAGGTTGCAGTGAGCTGAGATCTTGCCACTGCACTCCAGCCTGGGCAACAGTGCGAGAGTCCGTCTCAAAAAAAAAAAAAAAAAAAAAAAAGCCCTTTACTCTTCAACATCTGTTGTGCTTTTGAGAAGCTTTTCTGTATTCGAGGAGCTGCATCCTCACCCTGTGATAACTCCTTAAACTCTCTTTTAAACCTTCTCATCCTCTTTCTTGTTTGCTCCTCTCTCTGACTAGCCTGTCATTATTAATGTGCCTGTCACCTCTCACCTGTGTGAGGGAAAGAATCTAATGTTTAGGGCACCTACTATGTATCAAACACTTTCAGTTGTTTTTACTTCAGTGATGCAATTTACATCCCCACAAGGTAGAAGGGAGATATTATCCCTACTCTCACAGACAAAGAAGCTAAAGCTAGGAGAACCTAAGGTCATGTGACTACTAAATGACCAAGCGAGGATTAGATCTCAGTCTGTCTGACTCCAAAGCCCATTACTCTGCTGTAAGCTCCCAAGGAGCAAGCAATCTTCTGATTCATCATTATATACCTCATGGGAACTCAAACAGCACTTTGCACATAGAAGATGCTTGATAAATATTATTGATTTGAACTATGACTTGACCCCTTGAATATCTTTAGTGTTCTGGCAATTTAATGTGTGCCCAACTCTAAGAAGCTATACCATTCAGCTTGGTTTTAAAAAAAAATGCTCTTTAGGTTCAGCAAGGGCATCAAATGTGCTAACTTTACAATGTAGACAGGAAGATGGCAAAATGAAAGTGCTTGCTCTCTTCCTCTAGATGACTTTTTTAAATTTAATAATCCCATCAGGGAAGTTAACAGTTCACAGTGATAATGGCAACAATGAAACCACCAAACAGAATCTCCCATGCAATCACTAGAATAAACGAGCAGAAGCATGAACAAATTCTAACTGACGCGTCCTCTTTTCACTTTTCAGGAGTATAACATGTATGGCTGGTGGGTGGGAGAACTGAACAGCCTCATTGGGATTGTTCCGAAGGAGTATCTCACCACTGCCTTTGAAGTGGAAGAAAGATGAAACCCAGGTATCAGAACCATTGCCAATGAACTGCCTAATAGTTGAGTGGAACCTGTTGGCCACTACTTTGTTTCTCTGAAAGATGAGAGTTGCCAGTGAAGTAGCTTTTCTTCATTTCTCATACTAATGCTTGTAATTTACCAATGATGGAAAGAAAATGCCTCTGGAATTGTTTTTTTCTTAAATTTGTGGACAGTGTCACTTAGGATAAGGTTCAACTAAAAGCAACTTAAAATCTAAACTAAAAGTGACTTAATACGGAAGGCCAGGCATGGTGGCTCACACCTGTAATCCCAGCACTTTGGGAGGCCAAGGTGGGCAGATCACCTGAGGTCAGGAGTTCAAGACCAGCTTTACCAACATAGTGAAACCCCATCTCTACTAAATATATAAAAAAAATTAGTCAGGTGGGGTGGCGGGCACTTGTAATCCCAGCTACTGGGGAGGCTAAGGCAGGAGAATCGCTTGAACCCGGGAAGCGGAGGTTGCAGTGACCTGAGATCGCACCACTGGACTCCAGCCTGGGCAACAAAGTAAGATTCCATCTCAAAACAAACAAACAAACAAACAAACAAATTAATACAGAAATGTATTTTTCTCTTCTGTAAAAATCTAGAGGTAAGTGGTCCAAGGTATCCAGTCCCAGGTACATTTTCTTTTTGTTCTTCTCTGTGTGCCCAACATTCCCAAGGTTACCTCATGGCCAAGACAGATGCTCCAGTTCCAGCCATCCTGTCTGCATCCTACACAGCACATCAGGAAAGATAAAAGGAGAAGGTCAGGCCAGGCACGGGGGCTCATGCCTGTAATCCCAGTACTTTGGGAGGCCAAGGCGGGCGGATCATGAGGTCAGAAGGTCACCGTGTTAGCCAGGATGGTCTCGATCTCCTGACCTCGTGATCCACCCGTTTCGGCCTCCCAAAGTGCTGGGATTACAGGCTTGAGCCACCGCGCCCGGCCCTCAAATTAACTTTTAAGTAATAGAGAATGTGGTTTGTAGGGCCAGGCACAGTGGCTCACACCTGTAATCTCAACACTTTGGGAGGTCAAGGCAGGAGGATCACTTGAGATCAGGAGTTTGAGACCAGCCTGGGCAACATAGTGAAACCCCATTTCTACAAAAAATTTTTTTTAAAAATTAGCCAAGTGTGCTGGTGCACGTCTGTAGGCCCAGCTACTTGGGAGCCTAAGGTGGGAGGAATGCTTGAGCCCAGGAGGTTTGAAGTTACAGTTAGCCATGACTGCACCACTGCACTCCAGCCTGGGTGAAAGAGCAAGACCCTGTCTCAAAAAAAGAAAAAGAATAGGTTTATGTTTTATTAGCAAGAACCACATTGTGTTTCAAAATAGTGGGGGTGGGTGCTTGGTTTGGGTGGAGTAATAGTGGGAGCCACTTTGGTGCAGAGCGGGTTTTGGTTAGAATTAAGATGCTGATGGAGGGCCCCCAAGACCAGCATGTTGTCACCAGCTCCATCTTCTGGCCTGAAATAGGAGCAATCATCATTGCTGGGGGTAAAGAATGGCATCCGTGTGACAGTGATACAAACAGTCCTTGAAGTCCAGACCAGAGCCCACTCTAGTGTGCAGCAGCAGCTGAGTGAATTCATTTAGGAGAATACATAAAGGATAGATCTTATTCTCCAATGCCCTTGTACAACCATACAACAACAGCTCAGGCCTGTCACTCAAGGTTTGACTTTATGATTTTCCTGATGAAGACTCTGTTTCATGGCCACAAGTGTAGAGAGTTGGAATTTTTCTGTCAAATCTAAACAAATCCAGCCGGCCAAGCACGGTGGCTTACGCCTGTAATCCCAGCACTTTCGAGGCCAAGGCAGGTGAATCACTTGAGGTCAGGAGTTCGAGACCAGCCTCACCAACATGGTGAAACCCCATCTCTACTAAAAATACAAAAATTAGTCACGCATGGTGGCGGGCACCTGTAATCCCAGTACTTAGGAAGCTGAGGCAGGAGAATCACTTGAACCTGGGAAGCAGAGGTTGCAGTGAGCCAAAATCGCACCATTGCACTCTAGCCTGGGTGACAGAGAGACTCCATCTCAAAAAAATAAATAAAAATAAAAAACAAATTCACCCTTTTTTACTCTGTCATTTGTTTATCTCTTCACTGTCTTTGGCCCAACAAATCTATTTCTAAGAATTTATCCGGCCAGGTGCAGTGGCTCACGCCTGTAATCCTAGCACTTTGGGAGTCCAAGGGGAGTGGATCACGAGGTCAGAAGTTCAAGACCAGTCTGACTAACATGGTGAAACCTCGTCTCTACTAGAAATACAAAAATTAGCCAGGCATGGTGGCAGGTGCCGTAATCTTAGCTACTCAGGAGGCTGAGGCAGGAGAATTGCTTGAACTCGGGAGGCGGAGGTTGCAGTGAGCCGAGATCATGCCACTGCACTCCAGCCTGGGCAACAGAGCAAGATTCTGTCTCAAAAAAAACACAAAAAACAAACAAACAAAAAACGACTTTATCCTATTGGCCATTTTTGGTTTGGGTAAAAAAAGAAAAAAAAAGAAATTATCCTACAGCTATACTTGCACACATGCAAAATGATAGGCATATAAGGTTCATTGTAATAGCAAACACTTGGAAATGACCTAAATGTTTAATAGAGAACTAGTCAAATAACTATAGTACATTCACAGAACTGAATATTACGCAACAGTAAAAAAGAAAGGGAAACTGTATGGAATACATTCTGAGATATGTTGGTAAGTTTAAAAAAATAAAGCAGCAAAGAATGGGAGCCAGATCTGCCCCATTTGTATAAAAAGGGACTGGAGATTATATATACCTATTTGTTTATATTTGTATGGGATATTTCTGGAAGGAGACACAAAATGATAACATGGTTGCCTCCAAGGACAGAGAAACTGTGAGACAGGGTAGTGGGGAAAACATTATGCTCTGTGCCCTTTAATACGTCTATATTTTGAATCACAAAAGCAAATTTATGTATTTTTTCTCCTTTAGGAAACATATTCTTCCCCTCTACTGCCTTTATGAGGAAACTGATCATCAAAAGTTCCCACTCCCTATTTCTGCCACCCCACCAATGCCTTGGACTCCTCCCTTTGCTGAAGAGACCCAAGTCTCTGACACCTCAGAGTGACTGTAAGCTACCAGAAAGACAAGTGGGAAGAGGTACATTCATCAAACCTGTTACTAAACCAGCCTAGTCATAGCTCATCCCCATCTCTAAATGTGTCCACACATCCACATCTGCCTTTTCCACAAGCTTTTCACAAAGAAGGTGAGAGAGAAGGAAACCTTGGGAGGAGGACATTGCTGGTTGTTCTGGCTGGTTTGAAAAGCACAAATAAACCTGAGATGTGTTTCCTTGTCATGTGTGATGATGTTGAGCTCCTTTTTGTAAAATGATATCAATATGTCAGCTCTGGGCATTTTCACCAACTCCCAACAAAGTGGGGACAGCATGAGAGAAAACAAAAGCCCAGAGAAGAAAGGAGACTTGGAATTGTCTTTCAGAGTAGAATCTTCTCTGGAATCCATGTCCGTTATTTATTTTTTGTCTTTTTCTTTTCTTTTTTTTTTTGAGACAGAGTCTTGCTCTGTTGTCCAGGCTGGAGTACAGTGGCATGATCTTGGCTCACTGCAACCTCCACCTCCTGAGTTCAAACAATTCTCCTGCTTCAGATTCCCGAGTAGCTGGGATTACAGGCGCCCACCACTACACCCGGCTCATTTTTGTTTTTTTGTTTGTTTTTGAGATGGAGTCTCAACTCCGTCACCCAGGCTGGAGTGCAGTGGCACAATCTTGGCTCACTGCAACCTCCCCCTCCCCGATTCAAGCGATTCTCCTGCCTCGGCTTCCCGAGTAACTTGGATTACAGGGGTGCACCATCACACCCGGCTAATTTTTGTATTTTTAGTAGAGACGGGGTTTCACCACGTTGGTCAGGCTGGTCTTGAACTCCTGACCTCAAGTGATCCACCCGCCTCGGCCTCCCAAAGTGCTGGGATTACAGGCGTGAGCCACCGCGCCCGACCAATTTTTGTATTTTTATAGAGTTGGGGTCCCGGCTGGTCTCAAACTCCTGAGCTCAAGTGATCCACACACCTCAGCCTCCGAAAGTGCTGGGATCACAGGCATGAGCCACCGCTCCCACCCAGCTACGTGGTTTTTTTTCTATGTGCTGAATCTCCAAAACGAGACAGAACCAGAAGCAAGGCCTTGGAGTCAGCACATTGAAGAGTTCCTCTTCAGGCCTCCGGTTAGTTAACAACCCATGTGTCCTGCACTATAACACCTCTCAGGTAGGAGCTGAGGAAATGCTCTGAGGAGGGCTCAAGTATGGATACAGGGCTCCCTGTTCCCCTTTCCTGTTGTCTGTACCTAGCACTCAGGTTACCTGCACGTTAAAAGGCAGCAAAACATAGTGATTAACAGCATAACATCTGCAACCAGACAGCCTGGGAATAAATCTCAGTTCCCTGTCTACTGTGCTCTCTGGAGCAAGTTATTTGACCGTTTATGCCTCAGTTTCCTCACCTTAGAAGGGATATACTCTATTCACTGTATCGTTAGGTGATTAGAAAGATTAAATGATTTAACATGTGTAATGGTACTTGGAACAATGCCTGGCACATACTAACACTCAATAAGGGTAGCTGCTATTGTTGCCTGATTCTTTACAAGAGAAATTTTGAAAGACAGGCAACTGGCCGGGCACAGGGGCTCACACCTGTAATCCCAGCACTTTGGGAGGCTGAGGCGGGCAGATCACGAGGTCAGGAGTTCGAGACCAGCCTGGCCAACATGGTGAAACCTCGTCTCCACTAAAAACACAAAAATTAGCCAGGCATGGTGGCACACACTTGTAATCCCAGCTACTCAGGAGGCTGAGATAGGAGAATCGCTTGAACCCGGGAGGCGGAGGTTGTGGTGAACCAAGATCATGCCACTGCACTCCAGCCTGGGTGACAGAGTGAGACTCCATCTCCAAAAAAAGAAAAAAGAAATCCCTGTTCAGAGAAGCCCTGGATTGGTGGTAGCCTGCCTCTCCTCTGTAATGACCACGTTGCAGCACTGGAGTAAGACGCCCATCTCACATCACAAGAGAGAAACCAGGGGGCAAACAGGGATGTCAGTGGGCTCTAACTGTCTCAAAAAAAAAAAAAAAAAAATAGATCTTATACCTAATTATTCATTTCCAGATTATCTGAGCCAAGAGTAAAAAGAAGAAAACCGTTTTGTGTATGATGGATAACTGCATGGAATGAAAAGGGGAAATTTTAGGTTTAGGAGGAAAAAAAAGCCAAGTGAGATAAAGGCAATATAGAAGTGTCCTTAACGTCCCTCCCGTGCTTCACACAGAGTGCTAAAGGAGGAGGAACCACTAGGTGGCAGCATATGAGCAGGTGAACCAAAGAAAACCAACTGCCTCCGGTTTTAGGGGCCTTTGCACCAATACCATCCCACAGGTAAGGACAATGGGCGCTATTCTAAAGTGTTTAACAGAGGGAGCAAACACAAACCCTTCTATACTCCTCCTTTGCCACCCACCTCTCCCCCACTCCCCCATCCTCTGCCCATCCTTCCCTGGAGACCCCAGGACCCAAACCTGAAAAGCTGGGTGGCTAAGAGGCCAGAACATCATCATGCCACCACTCTGTGGCTGAAAGACATCAGAAAAGGGGATACCAGAAGAGAAAGGGCAGGGATCTGCAACAGGATAAGAGGCTGAAAAAGGAAAAGGTCAGCTGGGTGCGGTGGCTCACACCTGTAATCCCAGCACTTAGGGAGGCCAAGATGGGTGGATCACGAGGTCAAGAGATCAAGACCATCCTGGCCAATGTGGTGAAACCCTGTCTTTACTAAAAATATAAAAATTGGCCGGGCATGGTGGCGCACGCCTGTAATTCCAGCTACTCAGGAGGCTGAGGCACGAGAATCGCTTGAACCTGGGAGGCAGAGGTTGCAGTGAGCCAAGATCACATCACTGCACTGCACTCTAGCCTAGCGACAGAGCAGGAAAAAAACAAAAAGAAAAAGGTCAAGGTAACTTCTTCACTCCCTGCAGAGTTCAATGCCCTCTAAATCATATGGCCATTGGCTTCCAGCATTTAAAATAAAATGTCCCTTCTATACCTGTTTCCAAGAGGAAACAACCACTTCCCAAACTGCAAAGGTCTTTGGGTACCTCCATACACCCCACGGTAGGCACCACACTCAGATCTCTGGCTCTTCTAGCTGTGAAACTCAGCAGAAAAAGAAATTAGATTGGCCCTAAAGTATATAAACAAGTGACCTCATTGGAAATCTGGTCTGTAGCTGTTCTGGCTGTTTCTGACATTGTTATATGGGAAAAAAAAAAAAAAAAAAAAGGTGGGGGGGCTGGATAAAGCATGTTTGATGTGTTGATGAGACAATCTACAGGCTGATGGACATTCTCTGCTAGGGGACAGTTCTAAAGGAGACTTTTTGGAAGCAGCAGATTCCTACAGTGTTGGAAATTAAACTTCACCCAGAAAAATGGCTCCCCACCCAATTAGCCCCCATCTTAGTTAATGGCTCAGATGGCAACAGGCTAATTAGATTACAGCTCCTCTGTTTGACTCTACTAACCAAATCCCCACCTCACTGCCTGCCACTAACTGGATAACTGGGGCATTAGACCACTTAACTAACCACATTATATGCAGGATGGCTTCTTCATCACCACCAATTGTTCTGGCAAGTGAAATAGGAGAGGGGTGGAGATGAAAGGCTTTTTTCCTTGATTTTATGTAAAGAGAAAATTTAAAAGCTAAAATCCTAAATTTAAGAAGTAAATGTGTAATCATTGACACAGAAGGTACTGACACCCAGTTGATAATCTAACCTGGGGCTGGTACAGTTTGGCCTGAATTGTCCAAGCTGGTATCCAAGAATACTAAATGCTCTGAAAGCAACATTTCAGCTGCATTTCAATAAAAATACGTTTTTCTAGTGTGTTTTCCCTGTCATCCACATAGCAAAATAGCATAGACATTGTTTTGCAATTACTTCAATATTAAATTTTTCCATATGATGGCCTGGCATATCTCTTAGAAATCTGTATTTAATTCAAAGCCAACTATATTTTTCTTGATGGTGAATAAAAAATGGGAAAGAGGTGAGAATTCCTATTAAGTCTCATTCCCTAAACCCAGGTTGATTTTGTTTACAACTAGAGTAGCGTCAAAGGTGGGGTTGACAAGGTGCTCTCCCTCCTGTTTGACAGACTTTTTTTTTTTTTTTGAGACCTAGTCTCCCCTCTGTCACCCAGGCTGGAGTGCAGTGATGCGATCTCTGCCTCAGCCTCCCGTGTAGCTGGGATTACAGGCGCCCACCACTACATCCAGCTAATTTTTGTATTTTTAGTAGAGACAGGGTTTCACCATCTTGGCCAGACTGTTCTTGAACTCCTAACCTCGTGATCCACCTGCCTCAGCCTCCCAAAATGCTGGGATTACAGGCATGAGCCACTGTGCCCAGCTGAGACAGATTTTTTTTTTTCTAAACAGAATATGTAAGGAATTAGCCTTGATCTCAAGTTGCCATTAACCTTTTTAAGAACCTTAGCTTCCTTAGTTGCACCACCCTATTTATAACCAGTTAGTATTTGCAAATAATGAAACGGAGGATCTTAAAGCCTGTGATCCCTGGTTCAAAATCACACAAAATCTGCCATGGAAGAAGAAATAAAATGAAAGCCCCTTGAAATTCTCTGTCAGCTGCTCTGCTTATTGACTTACTCGAGTTCTGTTGCAGTTAGACACTTCCAGTGAGACATCTTCAAAATGCACATTTCATGCCAAGGCATCACAATAAAGCAGTGCTGTCACTGCAAAGCACAAGATAATGCACGTTGTTGGGGAGGAAGACCCCTGCCTTTAAAAACCAGTCTGGGAAAGATGGAGTTGAAGAGAAGCAAGAAGGAAAAAAAAAAGGTTTTTTTGTTCGTTTTTTTTAATCTTAAGCACAAAACTCTCAGATGCCAGGGACAGTGGTGCTTTCATCTTTGGCAAAACAAAAACAAAAACCCCTCCCCTCAGGTCTCCCACCAGGAGTGGCTCTGGAAGGATAAATCTTGAATGGCGTTGATTTGTTAACTCCCAGAAGACCAGCAAAATCTGCAGGGCTGAGTTTAAAAAAAAGCAGACCTCTACACAGAGGATTATCTCTGCGACACAGCCCAGTGACTCCAGCTCATTTTCTAGTTTGTGGATTACCATAGTCCCTTGCTTCTTCCCTTCCCTACTGCCCGGCTATTTCATTTCCCATTAGAACTTACCAAGATTGGGTAGGGATTTTGAAATTTATAACTAAAAAGATTCTTCTTTTTCAAGGGATTTGAATTAGTCTCTCTTTTTCCCTATAAAAAACTAACTGTTCAGAAAACATGCTGTTTTTCTCCTCTGTATGAATTGATGACCATTCTTTCGGGTTCCATTAATGATATATTTTAAGATTTAGCCCATGCTGTACAAAAATCTTTTATAAATATAATGGCCCCCCAAAATACTGCCACATCAGAGGAAACTAAGGTACAATTAACAAAGTGATCATATAATTTATTCCCCAAAGGAAGACATTTTTGAGAGTGAAAGGGGAGTTAATGATGATGCCAAGACGGCAGGTGTAAACTGGGAAGTGTGGTCATGCTAAAAATAAGGCAAAATGAGGTGCCCAGTCACCTGGGGAGTGGACGGTAGAGAAGGATGACCTGGCTTTCCTGGTATGAGGCTTGGCTATGTCCCTACTAATGAAGTCCTCTCCCCTGCAGGCCTGGTTTCTAGGCAGACACAGACAAACTGGGCTTTCTTTTCCTGATGCCCCGGCATTCTGAGGGGCCTGATGTCTCTGGCATCGAGCCACCTGTGGGGCTGGCCAGCTGTCAGCGGCTGTGTGCATTCAGTTCCCTCGTGGGGTCCCATCACAGTCCACCACCCCTCCAAATGGCAAAGCACCACTGAAGGAAGCATCTTTGTGGCACTGGGCAATAGTATGCCACTTCCTTGCCTCCTGTGACAGAAGTGTTCCAAGAGGCTTCTAGTGCTGGTCCTCAAAGAGGGCATCTGGTTCCACTGTAGACACTCGCACCCTGATGGTGAGCAGCTGGTCACCTTTTGTCCTCCACATCCCATCATGGAACAGGAAACAGGCTACAGACATTTCCCTTTTCCACACCATCAGACATGCCCGCATTGCTGTGCTGTGAGTCACCAAGGTGGCATATGCACACCACCAGCCCCAAGGACGTGTCATGAACTATTTCACCTCTGGACAAGCATGCAGCATCTGGAGATTTAAGTTCATTTCTTCAACATCTCTACATTTACGGTACCAGAACCTGGAGCCGACTACTTCACTCTGTTAGTGCAGGGTTTCTCAACCTCAGCATTATTCATATTTTAGGCCAGGTAATTCTATGTTGTTGGGAGCATTGTAGGATGTTCAGCCACATTCCTGGCCTCTACCTACTAAATGCCAGTGGCCTCCCCTACCCTACCCCTGAGCTCTGACCACCAAAAACATTTCTAGGCACTGCCTAATATCCCCTGGGGGCAAAATCTCCCCTGGTTGAGAACTGGTGTCTCAGGGCATTTGGGGTGTGCTTAGCACAAAGCACAGAGAAACTGCCCCGCCTTCTAGAAGTTTGTGCTTGAGCCGCTGGATTATAGTGATAGAGATTACAGCTAGGTTGAGAAGATACAGCATTTAAATGCCACAAATCCCTCAGGGCTTAAAAACCCTTTGCTCTGCCTTTAAGATTTGCTCACCTGCGCTGCTGCATATTTGCACTACAATGTGTTGGAATGAGCAAGACCATACTTGCCGGTTCAGAGCTGCATTAGTCTCTCTCATGTCTTGACCCCTGTGCTTACTATCACAGGGCTTGTTTCCCTTTTCTGTGACAGCAATCTAAAAGAGGAGCGCTGAAACTCTCACTTAGGACCAAGTCAAATGCTGTGTACTTCAAATCAAGAAACACCACGCAGAAGGCAGCCGCAGATGACAGGGTTCAGTTCCAGTTCCCTCCTCAGTGCACTGGTGGGGCTGGGGCCAGGCAACATGCTTTGTGTGTGTTGACTACGGTCCCCAGGCAGAAGTGGGCAGATTCAGGACAGATTACCATCTCTCGGCTGTGATTTTCCTGGTCCTTCGTGTTCATTTATGGGAAAGTTTTCTCATACAAAATGACTCCCAGGAGAACCAAAAAATAAATAAAACAAAAACGCAACCAAAAACCACACTGCCTTCTCAGGAGGCCAAAATAGGAAGTGAGGTCCAGTGCCATTGTTGTCTCTGCCAGCACAGACCAGACAGGAGGGCCATCACTGGCCCTGGTGCCAGCCAGAGCCCTGTCGACGCTGCCTCCCATGGGCCCTGAATCTGAGGCACCTGGAAGGGTTATTAGCAGGATTGGAACTCATCCCTCTGCTGGGACCAGATCATAATTACAGTAATTTTCTAACAGAGCTCGGCAGTAGGACTGTTTAATCAGCATCTGACTCCCTTGTGCTCCCAGCCCTCATTACTCAAGGAGAGGAGTGGAATGCCTCTTAAAGAGACAGTGCCCGCCTTTCAGCATTTTGAACAGATGTGCCCTAATTGGTAGAATATATCTAAGTCTCACAGCTTATAGTAGGCAGGCTGCATTGCCTCCAACAAACTGCCTCAGGCTTTCACTGTTCTGGGCCTTCTGCCGGAAGGATGCGGGTCAGGCTGCTGGTGGGCTGGGCTTCCCACACCAACACAGCCACCAGGGAAAGGGACACACACAGGGCTAGAGCACTTACGGGATTCGAACAGGCTGTTCCTTTCTGAACTGATGGTATCAAAGAAAAAGTGCTTGGCTGAAGGACGGGAAGGAGACTTGACAGCCACACATGAAAAGAAATTTTGGCTGGTGGCTTCCCATAATCCAGAGATTCCAGAAACATCTTGTGTTCCTACCCTTCCGGGGGAAAAAACCTTATAGACTTACCAGTAGTCTCCTAATTCTCACACCCTAGCTTTACCACCTCTGTTTATTATCTGTGCCCCTTTGGCTACCATGAAAGTATCCCTTCGCTTTTTTTCCTTCTCCTTTGCTTGTGAAAATAGACCAGATCTCCCCTGAACAAGAGAAAAGTAATTATTTACTCTGCTTGAGTCAGGAGCACTCTGTCTCCTAGGAAGTGTAATTCTTGTTAACATTTTGAGCATAAGTTGTCTGTGTTTATTATATCGAGATTTGAGGTGTCCAGCTTTCCAACTCCAAATCCAGTCATGGCTAAAATAGAAGTGTTTTTTCCCCACTGAGAAATCATATCTCTAATAAGGCCAGACACAGTGGCCAACACCTGTAATCCCAGCACCTTGGGAGGTCAAGGAGGGCAGATACCCGAGGTCAGGAGTTTGAGACCAGCCTGGCCAACACGGTGAAACCTCATCTCTAAAAAAATTACAAAAATTAGCCAGGCGTGGTGGCAGACACCTGTAGTCCCAGCTACTTAGAAGGCTGAGGCAGGAGAATCACTTGAACCTGGGAGGTGGAGCTTGCAGTGAGCCAAGATCATGCCACTGCACTCTAGCCTGGGCAACAGAGCGAGACTCCATCTCCAAAAAAAAAGTATAGTGGCTAAGAACAGGAAAGGGGGCACTCATCGACAGTTTAAAGAAAGGTACTTTAAACCAGACTCTGAGCCTTTTACAGAACTGAGTCCCTGCTGGCAGAGGGCCGCCCCTCCAGCTTAGAATCGCTGCCCAGTGCTCCACTAAGGAAATGGTATGTCGTGCTGCAATGGTTATCTGTTTGGCTTTAGCTGCTTCTCAGCTGGCTGCTCATACGTAAATCCACAGATGCCACTCCAGCCTCTGATTTAATGCTCCTGCAGCCTCAGTGAGGCAGGCCGGGAGCTGGTCTATTCCCCTTTCTACCCCCAACCCCTCCTCACATCAAATCCTTCCAATTCTCACACCACTGTCCACCCCACCCCTAGGGTGTTAAGGATATTCTGCAAGAGCTGAGGCATATAAACAAATTCACATACATGGAACTAACTTAATGCCCAATCAGATTGTTAAAAAGTCATGATCAGGCCGGGCGCCGTGACTCACGCTTGTAATCCTAGTACTTTGGGAGGCCGAAGCAAGTGGATTACTTGAGGTCAGGAGTTTGAGACCAGCCTGGCCAACATGGTGAAACCCCATCTATAATAACAATGCAAAAATTAGCCAGGCGTGGTGGCGGATGCCTGTAATCCCAGTTATTCAGGAGGCTGAGGAAAGAGAATCACTTGAACCTGGGAGACAGAAGTTGCAGTGAACTGAGATCACACCACTGCACTCCAGCCTGGGTTACAGAGCAAGACTCCATCTCAAAAGAAAAAAAAAGTCATGATCACCTCCCAAGCAAAGCTAACAGAGAGGATAGGAGGTACCTTGGACTCGGTCATATGGATCTAAGGCCTTAGCATGAGAAAACTAAGAACTGTGAAAGAGCTCTGATTTCTGAGGACAATTCTGAAAAGCCCTGCAGGGTTGCTTTTTTTTTTTTTTCCTTGAATGTAGTGGTAGACTTTTTCTTTTTTGGGGTGGCAGGGGACTTGTCTCACAGAGCTTGGAAAGTATCTCTCATGTGAACATACTCCACCATCATCTAAAAACATGCTTTTTAAAAAACCACACTTGGATGGGCACAGTGGCTCACGCCTGTAATCCAAGCACTTTGGGAGGCCGAGGCAAGTGGATCACTTGAGGTCAGGAGTTCGAGACCAGTCTGGCCAACATGGTGAAACACAGTCTCTACTAAAAATACAAAAATTGCCAAGCGTAGTGGCTCACACCTGTAATCCCAGCACTTTGGGAGAATGACGTAGATGGATCATGAGGTCAAGAAATCGAGACCATCCTGGCCAACATGGTGAAACCCCATCTCTACTAAAAATACAAAAATTAGCTGGACGTGGTGGCATGCACCTGTAGTCCCAGCTACTTGGGAGCCTGAGGCAGGATAATCGCTTGAACCCGGGAGGTGGAGGTTGCAGTGAGCCAAGATGGCGCCCCTGCACTTTAGTCTGGCAACAGAGCGAGACTCCATGTCAAAAAATAATAATAATAAATCAATAAAATAAAAATACAAAAATTAGCCGGGTGAGGTGGCAGGCCCATGTAATCCCAGCTACTTGGGAGGCTGAGGCAGGAGAACTGCTTGACCCCGGGAGGTGGAGGTTGTGGTGAGCTGAGATTGTACCACTGCACTCCAGCCTGGGCGGCAAAGGGAGACTCCATCTCAAAAAAAAAAAAAAAAAAAAAAAAAAATTGAGCTCAGTTTCCTCAATGAAAAAAGGAGCATATACCTACCCTACTTTCCTCGCGAGGCACTGAAAAGGGCCAATAAAATTATGCTTATAAAACTTAGTGTTTTAATGGTAAGAAACCCCCCCCACACACAAACACATTTCCTCCCACCAAACAAACAATCCCTACAAGCTTGGAATCAGTCATCCTGGGTTATGGATGACTAGATGTGGGCCATGGAGGTATCTGACAGAAGAAAGGTGACTAAATCAGGACAGAACTTGACTCAAAACTAAATTCTAAACATTTTTATCCTACAAACAGTTCAATGAGCCACTACCCCCAGCTAATCCTCCATCTTTCATAGAGGTCATCAGTCACAGTGGCTAGACCTGGGCACACGCAGGAACAGAGCAAAACAGAAGAGGGGCCTATGGCACTATCTGGATGGAGAGAAAAACTCATGTGTGCTATTTTTCTGATGGCCCTAGGCCTGTATTATTAGAAAAGTGCTTTCCTTCCTAGGACTTCTCCTTCTAAGGCCTATACTCAACTAAGAGAGAGACTGAAAGGAGATGGTGCCTGGCCTTAGATTAACTGATGTGCTGTTGTATGCACGCTGCTAATGGATCATTAAAAAAGCTGGGAGTCAGAAAAATCACATCCATGTCTTTGAACGGCTCCTGCTGTCCCAGCAGCCTAGCCTGCTGGCAGAACTAGCTGCTGAGCACCAACTCCAGGAAGAAAAGGAGCAAACAGAAGAAGTCCAACCCAGCTTGCTGTTTTTTGGCTGAGTAGGGAATTGACACAGACCACCTCCGGCTCCTGTCTGGAAGTATGGAGATCAGAGAGCTTCAGGCACAGCTGGGTTCACAGCTGCACCATTTGGAGCATTGGGCTCATTAATATTCATGAGCCATCCCCACCAATCGGCAAAGCGGATGCCATTAGCTTAGCATCTGTCGGGTTTTTGTGAGGGTTGCGCGTGGAGTTTTTTTCCCCTTTTAAATGAACTTCTTCTGACATTTTGGATTTGCCTCTGTAGGTTTTCTATCCTCGCCTTGCTCTGCTGCATCATATAAAGGAGAGACCCAGGGGAGGCGGGCAGGAAAGAGGGATGAATACCAGCCAGGGCTTTGCATCTGCCTGTTGACAAACTTTATTTCTCTTTCAGCACCTGGCACCTCAGACAGGCTGCGAGGATGGAAGCAGCATCAGGTAAATTATACCTAACAAGGTTCATGCCCAGAACTGTGAGAAGAGTTGGATCCCAGCTCTTTGGAAGACAATCCTTCCTCCAGTGGTGAAGTTGAGCTGCACACACAATGCAGGAGGGCTACAGAGCACAGTTCTAAACCATTATTTCCATGCTGATAAATTCATGATTTATGAAAGGAACTACTGCCAGCCCTCACTCCCTCCTTCTCTGCTACAGCTTGTTAGACACAAATTGCAACAACAATCTTAAATACTTGCATTTTATTTCAGGCCAAAGCCCCTCCACTCTGAACTAAATGCCATGACAGTCCCAGAGCATAGGCTGGTAGTAAAAGAGCCCACAGACAGGGTAGGATAGCGAGAGGAGGGAGGAGTGGGCGAGAGGCAGGGGAAGAATCACACACGCAAACCTAAGAGTAAAGCAATGCAGAACGCCTGTGGCAATCGGCTCCTACCAGCTCTGGCTCTCAGTGGAGATGAAGAATGGCAGCAGGAGGAGAGAATGCCTCATTGTCTGAAGGAGAGCGTGTTGTTCCTCATCTCCATCCCCAGAGCCCTCTCTTTCAGGCAGGCAGAAACAAAGCCCTCGCACCCCCACTGGACTGCTCAATACAGCAGAGATGCTCGTGGTGGAAGCCAAGCCCTGCAGGCAGGGAGCTGTTACCAAAGGAGAAGAAAAGGATTCAAAAAAGAAAGGAGCCCACTCTAACCCTGCAGAAAAGATAGCCACGTCTCAGCTTTATAACCAGAAGAGACAGTGACAGCCCCGACAGTCTTTTCCAAAATAAAGGCCCCTGGGCTGTTGTTGTTCCTTCTGGCTGTGGCCAGCCACTTCTCTCTCAGGCATGACCATGAGCTGTTGTGCAGGTCTCAGGCTCCACTCAGCCAGGCTAAGGTCTCGGGACATAAATCCCCAGCAGCAGAAGTCACAGCACCAGTTCCATTCAGTGGTATCATTGAAAGAAAAAGCAAGGAGGTGGGAGAGTAAATATTCATCCCACTGTCCATGCAAGAAGGTAGGCAAGAGGCCAGCCTCCCAGAAACAAAGTGCTCTAGGACTACAGCAGAAACTGAAGCCAGCCAAGATGGGGATACAACACAACCACTCCCGTTGGGACAATGTTCAATATGGCAGCTTAGAATTGCCACATACAGGTCCCCAAAACTGGTCACCTGAGGAGATACTCCTGGTCCTACATACAAATGACCTACAGAAACTCAGCTCCCAGGAGAGTAACATGGGGTTCTGTTCAAAATCAACAGCCCCTGGGCCTTATGCTTAACTTACAAACATCTGCACAGTATTTATTCCCATGGAAGAGGCATACGGGGCTGTTATGACTGACCTCTGTCAATCAGCCCAAGCAGAGGCGACTAGAAGACACTAAGCAGCCCAGCCTCCCATAATACCTGCCCTGTGCCCAGTCCCACCTGAGTAAGTCTCCTGGCCCGTATCTTCTCTGACCATCTCAGAACAGAACCCAGAGCTCACTTTTCCAAAACTGTTTCTAATTGACCAGGGTCCAAAGGCACAGCATGGTCTCCTCCCGCAGCCCTCCTCACAGACTGAAGAGTGGAGGTTCCCTCATTGGGTCTTCCAAAATCACAGCATAATGGTGAGGAGAGGGGTGGGAGAGTGGGACTTTCCAAGGAAGGAACCTCAGAGTCAACAACTGGAGCCCACACTTCTAAATGGTCCTTTTCTTCACTGGGAGGCGGTGAGGGAGAGTTCCTCCTACCCGATCTTGGAAGAAAGCAGCAACTGGAAAAGAGTGAGAAAAGGAAAAGAAAGGTATGAACAGCTTGGGTAACATAGGGAGACCCCATCTCTACAAAAAAATAAAAACAAATTAGCCACAGATGCTGGCATGTGCCTGCCCAGCTACTCAGGAAGCTGAGGAGGGAAGATTGCTTGAACCTGGGAGGTCAAGGCTGCAGTGAGTTATGATCACACCACTGCACTTCAGCCTGGGCAACAGAGTGAGACTCCGTCTCAGAAAAAAAAGAGTATGAACATATAAACAAAAATGAATGGAAAGGGAAGTCTCTCTGAGCCTATTCTGACTCAGGAGGCTGCCCAATTAAAAAAAAAAAAAAATGGCTGGGCATGGTGAATTATTTGAGTCTGGGAGGTGGAGACCATCCTGGGCAACCTGGCAAAACCCTATCTCAATTTAAAAAAAAAAAAAAAAAAAGACTGGGCGCGGTGGCTCACACCTGTAATCCCAGCACTTTGGGAGGCTGAGGCAGGCGGATCACGAGGTCAGGAGATCGAGACCATCCTGGCTAACACGGTGGAACCCTGTCTCTACTAAATATACAAAAAATTAGCCAGGCGTGATGGTGGGCACCTGTGGTCCCAGCTACTCGGGAGGCTGAGGCAGGAGAATGGCGTGAACCCGGGAGGCGGAGCTTACAGTGATCTGAGATCATGCCACTGCACTCCAGCCTAGGCGACAGAGCAAGACTCTGTCTCAGAAAAAAAAAAACAAATAAATGCAAGTGAATGGATAAACAAAATGTGGTTATTTAGCCATACAAATGGACTGTTATTTAGCCATAAAAATGGGGGGAAAAAAGGAGGAAAAAAAGCAATGAAGTAATGATGCATGATGAAATATGAATGAACCTTGAAAACATTATGTTAGATGAAAAAAGCCGGTTACAAAAGACCACAAATCATATGACTCCATTGTGTAAATGTCCAAAATAGACAAACGCATAGACAGAGAATGTAGACTAGTGGTTGCCAGGAGCTACGGGGGAGGGAAGGACAGAGGAGTCACTACTCACGGGTACAAGGTTTCTTTTGGGGTGATGAAAATGTTCTAAAATTGACTGTGGTGGCTGACAGTTATACAACCCTGTGACTATATTAAAAACTACTGAACTGTACCTAAAAAGGTAAACTTTATGGCAGGTAAATTGTATGTCAATAAAGCTATTAGGCTAGGCGAGGTAATCCTAGCCAGTAATCCTAGCACTTTGGGAAGCAGAGGCAGGTGATCACCTGAGGTCAGGTGTTCGAAACCAGCCTGATCAACATGGCAAAAATCCCATCTCTACTAAAAATACAAAACTTAGCTGGGCGTGGTGGCACTTGCCTGTAATCCCAACTACTCAGGAGGCTGAGGCAGAAGAATCGCTTGAACCCAGGAGGCGGAGGTTGCAGTGAGCCAAGATCATGCCATTGCACTCCAGCCTAGGCAGAAGAGTGAGCCTCTATCTCCACAAAAAAAAATAAAAATAAAAAAAAAAGGGAGGGAGGAGGAATAAAATACCGAATAAATGAGAAAGCTTTCCCTTCTCTCTCCCCAGGTTTCAGTAGGAGCTCCTGCTACCCAGTGGTAGGTTAACACAGACCTACCTGGATAGAAAGTCACGCACCCAAAGAACAAGATCTCTTGAAAGGCTACCAATGCTATGACATTACTTTCCCTAACAAATGCACACCTTTCTGGTCCAGGTTATAGCAAACCTAGCCCCTGCTATCTCAAAGAGTACTCCAGTTACCTCTTAGGCTGGTCCCCTTTAGCCAGGTGAGAAGAGCTCTGCCTCTCTTCCTGGGCCCAGCCACAGTTTGACATAGCATATCGAAGAATGGCATCAGACACAGTCATGGTGCTTCGGCCCTGGACACAGGCTTCTATCTCAGGCACTGAGAGCTGGCTTTGCAGGAAGAGGTGCAACTGACTGTCGGACAAGAGAACCACACTCTGCAGGACCCTGGGGAAAATACAGGTAGCACAACACAGAGCATCACCCTGAGGAACTGCTCTCCATTCCCCATCCTCTGAAGAACTTCTGGTTACCTGAGCAGGGACCTCCATCCTGCCTGGCACCTCCCTCCACCCCGCCTCCACCCTCAGTGGCCAGCACCAGCCGTTCTGTCCACTCACTTTTCAAGGAAGTGCTGCAGACCTTGTCGTCGCTTCTCAATGAACTCATCTGAGGTGCCGAAGAAGGTTGACTTCCCAGGAAGTTCAGGAACAGGCCTGTGGAGCCACATGATATAACACCCATGATAACTCTAACATCTAAGATAGTCATTCTAGCCTCTGATCAAGGAAATCCCTTGAAAACAAGCCTCATCAATACAATTAGCATTTTTTTTTTTTTTTGAGACGGAGTCTCGCTCTGTCGCCCAGGCTGGAGTGCAGTGGTGTGATCTCAGCTCACTACAAGCTCCGCCTCCTGGGTTCACACCATTCTCCTGCCTCAGCCTCCCGAGTAGCTGGGACTACAGGCACCCGCCACCACGCCCAGCTAATTTTTTGTATTTTTAGTAGAGATGGGGTTCACCGTGTTAGCCAGGATGGTCTTGATCTCCTGACCTCGTGATCCACCCGCCTTGGCCTCCCAAAGTGCTGGGATTACAGTTATGAGCCACCGCCCCTGGCCACAATTAGCTTTTAATAAGGGGTGGTGCTAACATTGACTGACTGCATGCCAAGTGTCAAGCCAGACTGTGCTAAATGTTTTATAAACATTATTTCATTTAGTCATCCCAAAACCCCATGAGAAAGATATTAGTAAACTCACTTTAGATCAGAGAAGTTAAGTAAATTTCTCACTGTTACACAGCTAGTAAGCAGCAAAGCTCATATCGGAACCAGGTCTATGACTATAAAACCCATGCTGATACATTATTTTTGTCTGTTTGATTTTAGAGACAAGGTATTGCTTTCCAAGCTGCTCTCTCCAGGTTGCCCAGGCTGAAGTGCAGTGGCATAATCATGAGCATAGCTCACCGCAGCCTCAAATTCCTGGGATCAAGTAATCCTCCTGCATCAGCCTCCAGAATAACTATGACTACAGGCAGGTGCCACTGTGTGCACCTAATTTATTTATTTATTTACTTAGGTATCTGTAGAGACAGAGTATTGCTCTGTTGCCCAGGCTGGTCTCAAACTCCTGGCCTCAAGTGATCCTCCTTCTTTAACCTCCCAAAGCACTGGAATTACATGTGTGAGCCACCAAGCCCAGCCACACTACGTTGTTTATGAAACCCACTCCCAGCTAGGTACCGTGGTTCATGCCTGTCATCCTAGCACTTTGGGAGATTGAGGTGGGCAGATCACTTGAGCTCAGGAGTTCAAGACCAGCCTGGGCAACATGGTGAAACCTCATCTCTCCTTTAAAAAAAAAAAAAAAAAACAGCCGGGCGCAGTGGCTCACGCCTGTAATCCCAGCACTTTGGGAGGCTGAGGCGGGCAGATCACGAGGTCAGGAGATCAAGACCATCCTGGCTAACACTGTGATATCCCGTCTCTACTAAAAATACAAAAAATTAGCCGGGCGTGGTGGCGGGCACCTGTAGTCCCAGCTACTCGGAAGGCTGAGGCAGGAGAATGGCGTGAACCTGGGAGGCAGAGCTTGCAGTGAGCTGAGATCACGCCACTGCACTACAGCCTGGGCAATAGAGCAAGATTCCGTCTCAAAAAAAACAAAAAAAAAGCAGGCCGGGTGCGGTGGCTGACGCCTGTAATTCCACCACTTTGGGAGGCCAAGGCGGGTGGATCATCTGAGGTCAGGAGTTCAAGACCAGCCTGGCCAATATGGTGAAACCCTGTCTGGATTGCTTTAAACAGGAGGCAGAGGTTGCAGTGAGCCGAGATCGCACCATTGCACTCCAGCCTGGGCGATAACAGTGAGACTCTGTCTCAAAAATAAAAATACAAAATACAAAAAGTAGGCTGGGCGCGGTGGCTCACACCTGTAATCCCAGCACTTTGGGAGGCCAAGGCAGGGGGATCACCTGAGCTTAGGAGTTTGAGACCAGCCTGACCAATATGCAGAAATCCCATCTCTACTAAAAATACAAAATTAGGCCAGGCATGGTGGCTCACGCCTGTAATCCCAGCACTTTGAGAGGTCAAGGCAGGCAGATCACCTAATGTCGGGAGTTCGAGACCAGCTTGACCAACACGGAGAAACCCATCTCTACTAAAAA